GGCGACCGAGGCCGATCAAATCGAGAAAAGGAACAGAGAGGCGACATTTGACGAACTCGCACAATTCATAGGTTGCCAATCTCGCATAGCAAATAGTCGATTCGGTCAACTGGCGAGGGAAAGCATCAGGACCGCTAGGCCTTCAACCAACTTTTCGCCGTCTGGATCTCGAGGTCCCTAGTCCCCACACAACTGGGTGAGCACTAACTTAATCTCATATGACACACAAAGACCGATTAGGTGCAAAGTGTGCATAGGTGTGCACAAGCTTGTTACCTGCCCAGAGTTTTTGTCAATGAAGATGATGGACCACTGGACAGTAGCTAAAAGGACAGGATCCTGACCTGTGTGCTTGAGCGATACCCACAGAACAGCCCTTTGTAGGAAGCGAACTAACTGTGGTCAAGACAATTACAGGCTTCGGCATCACTCCTTATTACACCACGATGGAGGAGTCGAGCAACGAACAAATAGTGGCCGGGTCGATAGAACCGACGAACACTCTGCGGGGGATACACCTAAATCTGTCTACACTATCGGACAAGTGTCAAGTGGGCCAGTCCGCTTGGGAATAATACCAATCCAAGCGAAAACTCCGCATGATATGGTGCGAGCCGTGGCGTTTCTAGACAATGGTTCGGAAACCACCCTCGTGTGAGAGAGCTTTGCACGAGAACAAGACCTGGGGGGACAAACTAACTCATTGGTAATCAGCACGGTGAATGGGGCACGAGCAGTTCGAGCTTCTCAACTGAGTTTCAAGTTAGCTCCCACGTCGGGGGAAGATACGATAGATGACACCAAGCATTTACTATCGCCGAACTACCAACGAGAGCTTCCGAAAGTATCCGGTCGTTAGCGCGATCTGCCGTTCGAAGATGTTCCGGACACCTGAGTAGCCATATTGATCAGCTGTGATGTACCCGAGGCGCATTGGGTTCTGGACCAAAGGATAGAAGGCCGTAGAGATCCGTATGCTGTTGCTTTACAATCGCGATTTCGGCGACATAGCAGAAGACCAGGTATCTATGTCGAGGGAAGACCGAGCAGCCCTGACTGTCGTCACCGAAACGACACGACACAACGGAACCCAATTTGAAGTGCTGTTACGCTGGCGAACGGGATCCAATCGACTGCCAGACAATCGAGACACGGCACTCCATAGGCTCAACTACCTGAAGGGTCGATTAAAGAGGAACGAGCAGTTGAAGGAAGCCCACTTTAACGCCATGAAATGCAAACTTGAGTTGGGATATATCGAACGCGCAATGGGAGAAATCGAGAAGGAGCAACCATTGTGGTACCTTCCGCACCACCCTGTCATAAACCACAAGAAACCTCAGAAGATCGGGGTTGTCTTCGATTTTGCTGCCGAGTGTGCCGGGATTGCCCTAAATGACCGTCTATTACAAGGCCCAGACCTGACTACTCCGCTGATTGCGGTGCTGTGCAGATTCCGGCTGGGATCAGTTGCAGTAGACGCTGGTATCGAGGAGATGTTCATGCAGGTCAAAGTCCCCGAAGGGCAAATGGATGCGCTACGGTTGTGGTGGTGGCCGGATTAAGACCTGGACGGACCTGCCCAAGAGTATCGGATGACGGTGCACCCGTTTGGCGCGCTATCTTCTCCCTTATGTGCAAACTTGGCGTTAAAAACGACCGTGAACATTTTTGCTCAGCATTTCGAAACCCCGGTAGGATCGTGTGTTGAACATAATTTTTATGTGGACGACTTCTTGGGATCCTTTGATAGCATCGAGGAAGCAGTTCGACACATTAGGGATCTATCCACGTTACTGCTCATGGGTGGGTTCAAGTTGACCAAGTGGATGTCCAACAGTCGTCATACAATCGATTGCATCCCAGTTGATGAGCGGGCGTTGAGTCTCCGTGAATTTCAGGGGAGTCCGCTACCAACAGATAGAGCACTTGGTGTGCAATGGGACTCGGAGAAAGACGAATTCCTGTTCCAACTCTAGTTACCTGAGACGACTCGCAGAGGAATTCTGTCTTCGTTGGCCAGCCTTTACGATCCAAAGGGGTTCGTCGCACCGTGGCTACTACCGGGCAAGATTCTGCTGCAGGACCTGTGTAGAAAAAAGGTTACTTGGGACGAGACCCTATGCGAAGTGGATCACAAGACCTGGCAAGTCTGGTGGCTGAGCTGGGCGATATACGACTCCCTCGTCCCATACCAGGAATGCACAAAGGAGAGCAAAGTGAGTTACACGGTTTTGCGGACGCGTTGGAGGTGGGATACGGAGTGGTGGCCTACGGTTGCTCATCTCGGCCAGGAGGAAGTAGGCATAGCAGTATTCTGTTCGTAAAGGCCAGGGTCGCCCCTCTTAAGTCAGTCTCAATACCCAGGCTAGAACTGGCCGCAGCAGTATTAGCCGTGAAAGTAGCGAAGGTGATCAAAAAATGTTTTAACTCGATTGAATGGACCGCAGCCGACTGAACTGATTCCGCTATAGTTCTTCACCATGTTAGCAATGTATGGACGCGCTTCATCACATTTGTTGCCAACCGGTTGGCTGTCATTCACGAAGAAACGGAGGTGGGTCAATGGCGGCACATAAAATCCTGTGACAATCCAGCCGACTACTCCTCCAGAGGTGTGCTGAACTTGGAGAAAATAAAACCGTGGTTACATGGACCGGCTTTCTTGAGAGAAAACAGCCCGGCGAACGGCCCGACACTCAGATTTCCACGGTCGCGACAGAGTTACTAGAGACTAAGAGGACCGTTACGTTAGTCGCTGCTTCAACCAACATCTTACTGCACAAACTGAATCGTTTTTCACGATGGACGAAGGTGCTGAGGATGGTTGTCTGGTGGACCAGATTCAAACGCCAACTCGTTTTTCTGAGAGGACTCCAACCTGATGACACCTTGAATGTTGGGCCCATCGTTCCAACTGAATTAAAAACAGCAGAAGCTGATGTTGTTAGCATGATTCAATCACAAGCCTCCCCGTCGGAGCTCCAGATGTTAGGCAAGGGGAATCGTGATTCCGACCGACAGGCATTACGTTGCAGAGACCACTTCGTGCCGTCGTTCGGCAGAATAGTTCGCTGGCCCAGCTGTGTTCCAGCATATCTTGGGGAGGTTCTTCCTTTTAAAAGTATAAACTTCAATAACTGAGGGATTTCCTCCAAGACTATCTTCAGCAGACCAATCCGATAAGTGACAATTACTTCTTGAGTGGCACAATAGAACAGTGTATCCGCACAGCAGACCATCGACTCGTGCCCCGCGTCCGTAAATCCTCTTCAAACAAACACCCTCCGCCACGTGCTGTTCTTCATCTTCTGGAAGAACGTTTGCGTTTCTTTGCTAGGTACAAATTGACGGGCCCGATGGAAGATGCCAGTGGCTTCATCCGCATTCGCATTATACCAAGCAAAGATCCGGGAGTACCAGCGGAACCAACAGAACGGCATTCTAACCAGGGCACGGGTAAACCGGTCAGTTCTGTACAAATTTATGCCACGAACACGCTAACAGGTTTTACAGATTTGTGCACACTACTTTTTTAATTCCATTAGCTTCCTTTTCTCATCTCTTCTTTCTCTTTTATAAACTCAACATTTAACAGTTGTTTTAACAGGCCTCCTCATTACCCGCTCGGTATCTTTGCGGTCTCGCTCCGTTATTTTTTCAATTGTTTCCGGTTCTGTAACTGGGACCTACGACGGTTTCGTAAGTCGCAAATGTGTACTGATGTATGCCTATAATAGAAACGAAGTTTCAACAGTCGTTCAACTGTTTTCCTACGTGCTGGGAAATTTGGTCATTCAAAATCGATACATTGCGATTCGTATTAAACTATGTTCGGATTGCCGTTACAGTTTGAAACCTGGGTCAAATTACGTTCGGTGAGCTCTTCTACGTTTTTCGTTTTTGTCTTCAATATTTTGTTCGTGAATCGAATTTAATGTCGTGTCAACCTGTTCAATCAGCCTCAGTCAGACTATCCTCCTCAGGAGAGAAAGAAGGTGAAGAAACCACCATCGTTAAGGGCTCACTTTTTGGGGGAATCACACAGCAGCAAAAGGTCTGCAACGAAAAAGGCATAAGTAGAACTACGGTTGTTGAGGGATAGTCACAGATTAGAATGTGAGGCAAATGAAGCCGTCTTTCGACAACAACTGTGCGAGGCCGAGGCTAAGCTGGCTCTTGCAGAGATTGAGTGCAACAGCGATGCAGAAGACGTAGCATCCAGGTGCTCCAAGTCAAGCTACAAGGAAAGAGTAGAAACCCATCTACGAAAGAGTGTGCCCCGAAGTGAAGTTTAGTGGGGGCATAAGAGAACTACCTGCACCTAGGCATGACAAGCTTCACAGCTTAGAACTCCCGCGGCTAGAACTCAGTTATTTCGATGGCAACGCTACAGAATATTGGCGACTCAAACGGTACTTCGACGTTTTCTTTGCTAGAATCTCTTGTGGGGACGGTAGAAAACTGTCTTATCTGTTACACTATTGTAAGAGAGTAGCTAGAGAGGCAATAGAACAGTGTATGTGAATGTCAGAGGAAGATGAGTATTATATGGCCAGGGAGATACTCGATAAATTATTCGATCGAGCGCACGAAGCAGTCAAGGCTGTAGTAAAGGACGTTCTGGCTAAAACAGCAGAATTGAGAAGAACAGGCGAAAGCCTGAGCAGGCTTAGCATTAAATTGCTAAGCTGCTACATGGTCCTAACGGAAATGGGATGTGTATCCGAGATGGATTCCATACCTGCACTGGAGTCATTAGTTACACGATTGCCCAGACGCTTACAACGTACGTGAGCCAAGGTGGCAGATAGGATCGTATCCAATGGCTTGGACTTGTTACATGCTGAACAAGAGCAAGGTCCAGTACGAACTTCACTATATCGTCCCCAAATGTGTTGGGCGGAGCAATCAGTTCCTCCCACATTGCCTCAGGGGCGTTTAAGTCTCCAACAATTATTACAGTTCCGTTCCTCTCGGCCTCAATCCTTAGGAATGACAGCAGCTGTCAATCTTCGTCCTGACTTGATGCTGGGCTTCTGTATACACATGCTACCCAGTTCTCCCTTCCTGGTACTTTGATGCAGCACAAAGTGGCCTGAACCTTAGGCATCACTAACTGCCCTCCCGTCAATTGCTTATGATTGTTGGTCACTGGCACCATTAATCCACCGCCAATCCTCCCCTCACCTCAATCTGCCCTATAGATGCAGTATCCTGGCGGTGCAGGCGTTTCTACCTTTGTATTCTGGTGCAGCCAGGTTTCCGTTACAGCTATACAGTCGCAGCCTCTGGACTCAACCCTGAGTTCTCCCCATTTGTTCCCAATGCATTGGTCCCAAGGCACTGGTGTACAACAGTTGCAGTCCCTCATTCTCTTTTAATAATAATAATAATAAGTGTATATTTCACGGAGCCCCGTGAGACATGCATAGACATGATCAAATGTACAACATAATCCTCCGTACAGGAGAGGCCCCAAAGCAGAAAAAAATTGAAGGTCGCAGTAAACATAATTACAAATGGAACACAGACTGGACAAGGTATCAGATAAAAAAGGTTGAGGATGGCGGAATGCTCTAAAAGAGCAAGTCGGTGGAAGTAGGATGAAAAACAAAAATTGTTATACCGGATGAATGGGCGGGTGATTGGAAACACGACAAGCAGTGAGTAAAATAAACAAGAGTCGGCCTGCAGACCGTTGGATGGAAACCGGCACAAGAGCGGATAGGGTGAAGCAGAACAGAGTGAAACTGTCATGGAATATATATGCACTTCACGTTGTGAAACAGATGAGTTCTGAAGGGTCTTGTTCGATGGTCTCATCTCTGTTTCTTTAACCTGGCTGACCTTGCACTCGGGTGCTACACCCTGGTTCTTACTCCTTTTTTCGTTACTTTTGCCATCAACGCTGGGGTTGATATGGTTCTCTTCAGGACGGGGCTAACTGTTACTGCCAGGCTGCGTCTGGCTACACTTGCACATGTCTCACCAAGACTACCAGCCCTGGATGACATGAGCGTAGAGTCTATTCGATTGACACTGACCCTTGGTGATCCAAAGGTTTGTGTCGACCTCAACTGAGTCTCTCTCCTGATTTTCAGGTGGTTTCTTTACCCTGTGGCAAGGAGATCCGGCTCTACCGAAATTCTGTCTACTGTTGCTGTTTTTGCTGCACCAGCGGCTGCGAGGAACTCGTCCTTATACCCAGGGTTCCCGAACCCCACTAGAACCTGCCTGGCAGTACCTTGGGTACCGCCTGACTTGCCGGTTCACCTACCTAACCGGAACACTCCCTTCAAGAGAACGTGCCCTAGCACGCCTGCCATCCTCAGGAGATGAATGACGCTGTGCCTTAGATCTCATTCTCTCTGGCGTCCGACGACGCAGAAGGGTTCTTGGATGCCTTTAATGACGACATTTCTGTCTGCCGAGGGTAATTTCATTGATGGCCTCCAGTCTTAGCATGTTCTTGGTTAACTGACTCAACTCCTACTGTAGCTCCATCAGCTTCCCTTCCTGCTTCGTTGCGCGAGCTACTAATACCTCGATATCCTTCTTAAGC